TATATGGGTTGTTTGAAGATCTTCCTAAAAAGACTTGTCAAATGACACCTAAATCTTTTGAACAAAATGAAGAAAGCAAGAATTGAGCCTTGAATGTTTGAATCCTTCATTCTTGTTTTGTGAGTTTTTTTTTCTTTTAATATCTATCCTTTGTGATGAGGATTGTTACTTGTAACCTCTTTGTAAAGAAAGTGTGAAGGAGGGTTTGTGAGCTCTTGAACGTAGCTAGCATTCTATCTACTAGCCAGGGTGTGCCTAGCACCATCAACCAGTTAGGATGTAACTAGCATCTCGTTAGCCAATCGGGGTGATTAGTACTGTATCAACTAGTTGTTGGTGTGATTAGCATTGAACAAACTAGTCGAAATGTAGCTTGTAATGGATTAACTAGCATTATATCAACTAGTTGTTGTAACTTTTGTTTGAAGTTAGTGGAAAATCTAAAAAGGGAGCTTTCCTTAAGGAGAGGGTAAGCTGGGATAACTAAGCCTCTATAAAGAGTTGAAATCAGCCCCCCACAAGATAGTTTCCCACAACGTCCCACAGCACATCCCTGCCTTGTATTGGGAACATCTCCCGATGATAATGCCAGAAATGATGAGGCATCATCAGGAGATGTTCACAATACATGGCAGGGATGTGCTGTGGGACGTTGTGGAAAACTATCTTGTGGGGGGCTGATTTCAACTCCTCTATAAATTGTTTGTGTGTTCTCTCTCTCTTTCTCACTTACTCTCTTGCTCATCTTGTCATTCATCATTGATTGTTAGTTATTGTGTTGATTAACACTTGAGCACTTATCATTTACTACACTCTATATAATTGAAGTATTTGCCTTTATTCTTTACATAATTGAGCACTAACTTCAAGCATCTATTTCTTTTGTTGTAATCATTTCATTAAAGGGAAAGAAAGATGGAAAAGTTTAAGAAACCAATCCTTTCAAAAAGAAACCCAATTCACCCCCTTCTTGGGTTGCCTAACTAGAGCAACATACATGACCCATAGGACTACGAATTACAACATCCACAAAAAATACCAATTGTGGGGCCAACCCCCTTGCATGCATACTTATTTTCTTGAACCCTAAACCCCCTAGGCAAGATCCCACTTATATACTCAATCCATAACCTTTCCTATTCAATGTGGAACAAGTTCTTTATAGAACATTCAAAGGAGCTCTTAAAGGTTTAGAGGGAAATGAAATCAAATAAGACAAATATGCAAGGGAGGGTTTGGTCCAAAAGTCAAAGGCATTAAAGACAAAAGTTTTTGAATCTCATGACAAACAAAACACTAACTATCCCCAGGCCAACAAGATTAAAAGAATGAAACTAGGAAAAGAGGATAGAATGGAAATTGATAACATTAATGCAATGATGTTGATGTCTATTTGACTTCGAACCAGCACTTAGAGCACACAAATTGTGAACCACAGGGGTGGAATGACTTTGGCATTTGAACCAATCTATCATTAGATGGAACAATGAACTTGATACTCATACTACGCTGATCATAACACCGTAGCTATAGTGGGGTGGCATGAAACAGTTCTATGCCATACCTGGGTTTCATGAGTTCTCTAGAGGACTAGTCTAAGCCCTCATAGATTTCATTAAGTGTGCATATGTAACTAATGCACCATCCAAAATAGGAAGGAATATATAACTTATGATCGATATATGATGCTCTCCAATAGCTTGCTGATTTTGCTCTTACCCTTTTGAACCTACTTTAAGAATTCTCCTATCACATAGGTGGGGTGTCCATTATTGTCAAGTTCTGTGATAGGCTTTAGTTCCATCCCTCTCGAGGTATCATTCACTAATTTTCTTGTAAGTGGTTTAGTGAGGATTAATTAGACAAATTCTTCTTCGACCTAACGAAGGAGATTGTACTATTACCAATCAACTAATTTACCACATTAAATCTCAATTTCATATGCCTATTCTTACCATTGTAGGTTTAACTTTTGCTTTAGCTATCGTGGCTTGGTGGTTACAATGTAAAGATATTGAAGGTAGTTGTTTTACACCCAAAGGATATCTACTAATATATTTTGCAGCCACTCAACTTCTATATCAACTTTATCTAAGGCAATAAATTCAGATCCCATGGTGGACCTCTAACTATATACATTTGAACTCATCCACCTAAGGTAAACACATATCTACTCGTGAATTTTGTTTCTTTGAATATAATATCCAATTTGCATCATAACATCCTTCAAGTAGTATAGAAAACCACAATAAAACAAGCCATAATTGATAGTTACCTTTAAATATTTCAACACTCTCATAAGATTAACCCAATGTTTCTTGATTCGAACTAGTATAGGAAAATCGTATATACATTCATTATTATAGTAACCTTTGCCAACAAAGATACCATTTCTAGTAAGAACTAGTTTGTTAGATTCAAAATCCAATTTCGTCCAAACCTTTTTAATTAGAAATGTTTAAGAAAGCAGGTTCTGACGGATCTCAAGAACAAACAAGACATCATTCAGTGCCAATACCTTTCTAGAGGTAAATTTTACTCTCCTTCCTCCACATTTGAGGAGAATGCTCCTCTTTGGCCATAAATATGTTCAGTGGCATTAGTATCAACCACCCATTCCTTGGTATCTCCTACCAAGTTTACCTTTGAAACTATAGCAGCAACGATATTGGTCTAAACTAGATTTACTTTTAGCTTCTTTTTAGACTTATCTTATTTATCATTTTTCCTCTTCTTCTTGAATATACACTTCGTTATCTAGTGGTCTATCTTACCGCATAGAAAATAAGGGTTATCGTTTTTCTTCTTGAATTGTGCACCATGTTTCTTAAACTGGTAACTTTTCTTTTTGGCCTTCTCAGCCTTGCTTTGTTTCAACTACTCTCCTCTACTTTGATATGAGCAATCAGGTATCTATCAAGTTATAAGTTAAATCCAAAGGTTCAACTACTCTCCTCTATCTTTTTTTTTTGAAAATTTCCAGAAGTTTATTAAGTTAACTAGTAATAGATCCTCTCACGCCCATTAGTATTAGACTATAGTTAGTATGGATCCAGCCACATCTGATCTGATACTGCTATTGAAATTAAAATCTGAATTTGATCCAAAAATCTGAAATATGAGATTTAGTTTTAATCCAAATCTGCTTTATTGTCTTGGAAATAAATAAGAATTAAAAAATCTTAAAAAATTATTTTCTTTTATTTACTCATATATTATTAATTTAATTATATAATATCAAATATGAAATTTGTTAATTATGAATTTTATATAATTATAGACTAGAAGACCATAGACAAAAACCATAAGAAGTGATTTGTTGCAAACTGAAAGGAACTAGGGATATAGACAGAAAGGACCTAAGTAGAAATAGTAAGAAACGGTTTAAGCACCAATAATTAAATATTAAATATTTAAATGGTATTTGAACATATGCAAGTAAATATATGACAGAAAGGACCTAAGTATATTCAAGTAAATATTAAATATATGACATATACAGTATTTGAATGTCATGCCTAAGTTCCATTTCCAATAGTCTGTTTGAATAAACTGTGGTATTCTCTCTCTCTCTCTCTCCTTGGGGTGACTTTTTCAGTTTTCTTTCTCGGCTGTGTGTTTACTCTCCTCTCTTAGTGAAAGGTGGCCGACCAATTGGAGTCCAGTAACCAACCAAACAGCGCACTTTGTCTTAAATAACCAGCATATATACAGATATACAGTAAAATGCATTGGAGTGAATCAAATGAAATAATTGTCCTGGATTCAAAAAAGAAAAAAAAATGGAATAATTGTCCTGGTTTTCAAGAAATAAAAAAAAAGAAATGAAATTATTGTCCTCCATTCACTGTTGTTCATCCAATTAATTCAAGTAAAAGTTTTCAACGTCAGCCCATAAGGGTTCAACCAACCATCCAGTAGTTGATTACTATTATGTATGTAATACTAATTAACCACCTAAAGAGTTAAATTTACTCATTAATTAAATGAAGCTAACTAGGGAATACATTTTCTGTTTTAGCCCATTTTGATAATCTTATAATTTAATATTCCACTTGATTTGGGTGTATCTTAATTGAGAACCTCCCAATCAACCTAAAATGGGAATTAATTGCTTTAATCTTTTTATATGAATTGAGAATTAAAAGAAGTGAAATATTGGGCTAGAAGGGTTAGAGGTAGGCAAAAAGAACATGGGTCAAAGTAATATTATATGAGATGGTCAAAATGGTATAGTTGGTTTAAGGTCTGGATGATGATGATGGAATTTAGTCTTGGAGATGTTTTGCCTGTTCCATATAATATATATTGGACTTTCTGGTTGTGTAAATATAAAACCAAATAATCAAAACAATAACAATTATAAATATTTAAAACCCAGAGGCCAGAGCAACATTGTCCACTCAGGCAGAGTTTGCAGAGCGAAAAGCTAAGGAGGAAGTGCTCAGCCAAATTAAGTTTAGGTCAATATAAGTCATTCCCATTAATTCCTCACAACTCAATTCGGCTTTAATTTAATCCAAACTATCTGGGGTTGGCTCCACAAATTTTCTAAAACTATTTGAGCTCCAATAAGAAACAGTGATGAAGCATATGGAATACTGGGACTACAAGCCTTGGCTATAGATCTTGACCAATTCCATTACTTTCTGCTTATTAGCTATAGCCTATAGGGGTATTAGAGTTGGGTACACTGCCAAAAGCAATAGACCTGTGCAAAATATCGTTATTTTAGAATCCTTTTCTTGGAAACTGGTAGAATAGAGTGCTTCCAACAGCCAAACCGAGACATGCTATGCAGAAGCCATTTATTTGGAATATTTTGCTTTGGCTTCATAGAGCTCTCTTCAGTCTGTCAATTCCCAAGAAATAGTAAACTTCTGAAAATAGTAACTGTTGTACAAGTCCATATCTTAGCCGTAGATCTTATGTTTATTGGTCTATTAAAAAATTGTCTTGTCATCTATTTTCATTACAAAAGGATGAAGGGAGCAAAATCATGTTATTCTCTCTTATTTTACCCCCGTAACTTTTTCCTGTCTCCATCACCTCAACCTACTGTCAACCTCTTTCCAATCCCACAAAAGCCCTAGCCGAGGAGTTCCCACCACCGCTTACCACAGGAAAAGGAGAGTGTTTAGAAAGAAAAATAAAAAAGAAACCCCCCTTCTCTCCTGTCTGAAATCTCAACTCTCTCTCTCTCTCTCCTTCGCTCTCGCTTGTAAGACACTATTGGCCCATCGTTAACAAATAGGAATTCAGTTTCTTCATCCCCTTTTCGGAAAAAAATCCGCCAACACCAGAAACTTTCAAGGTTTCTAGTATTTCTCAAACAAAGAAACCCCAAGAAGGAAGGAGAGAGAATCCTTTCATTCTGCTACTGATCTCCTTGCCACCATATCCATATCTCTCTCTCTCCCTCTCTCTCTCCGGAGCCAAAGATGGAAATTATGGAAAAGTAAAAGACTATTAGTAATCAGTTTCTTTTTGAGAGTTATAATCTCAATCAACAGTAACATCTGAAAAATACTCGTCTGCAGCTGCTACAAGGAGAAGAGCAAAAGGTGAAGCAGATCGACATCCACTATATATGTTTGCCACTGCCTGATCTATTCAAGCTCAGTTCATCTTTAACTGGTTTGCTTTATATTCTCTTTTGATCTTTTCTATTTGCTTTCTCTCTCTCTCTCTCTAGCTAGCACTGATATTTGCCGGACATCACATGCTTCCCTTTAAAAATCACCCTCCAAACCCTGGGAGAAGACCAGGAGCTAAGAAGCAAGACCCAAGAGGAGATTGAACGTCGTCCTCATAATTATCATTTAACATTATGATAATCATCATCATTATCATCATCACCACCACCACTACTGGCATCATCATCATCATAATGAATAGAATAGCAAGCTCACCAACATCAATTATTATCACTACTGCAGGTTCCAGGAACAAAAAGAGAGAACAGGAAGAAGGGGAAAGGAAACCATTTCAATGGATACAATTCCAGCAGCAGACAGTTCTAACTCGGAGAACACCAATAGCAACAACACTAATAGCTCCGCCGCAACCTCATCGTCAGCATCTGCCCCCAGCAGCCGATACGAGAACCAGAAGCGTCGAGATTGGAATACCTTCGGCCAATACCTAAAGAACCACAGGCCTCCACTGTCGCTCTCCAGGTGCAGCGGCGCCCATGTGCTGGAATTCCTCAGGTATCTCGATCAATTCGGGAAGACCAAAGTCCACACCCAAATGTGCCCCTTCTTCGGCCACCCGAATCCCCCTGCACCGTGTCCATGCCCACTCCGTCAGGCTTGGGGAAGCCTCGACGCTCTCATCGGACGTCTCCGAGCTGCCTTTGAGGAGCACGGTGGAAAGCCGGAAGCCAACCCATTTGGTGCCCGAGCAGTGAGGCTCTACTTACGTGAGGTTCGTGAGTTGCAGGCCAAAGCAAGGGGGATCAGCTATGAGAAGAAGAAGCGGAAGCGCCCCCAGCAGCAGGCCCAATTGCCACCTTCAGGTGCAAGCTAGCAACTGCGCTTTATCCAGCTATTTTCTGCACTGCGGATTCTAGTCGTTGATTATCCAAAATTACATTCTGAGAATTGGAGAAGGAGAATTCATCAACATTTTCTATATCTTTTAAGCTGTTAGTTGCCTTTAGCGTTATGGGTACCGCCTCCGGCCTCTATTTTCCCTTTCGAGTAGGTAATATAAATATGTATGAGTATATGTAGAAGTAGCTACCTATTCATGAGCTATTCATGCATTCTAAGTGGTTCATGCTGTTCTTCTGTCTTATGTTTTACTTCAGCAGAACCTATGTTCAGATTTATAGGTATATTGGATTTGCTTTCGATGCAAAAAAAGTACTGGTACTGGTGGTAATAGTTGTAGTAGTAGTAGTTGGACTACTGGGAGTAGTTGTTGTTGTTGCTGCTTTTGTTGCTGTTATGGACCTGTGTTTCTAGTAGTAATAGTAGTAGAACTTCAAAGAGAGAGTGTACTTGAATGTATCATCTATCTGAAATTTCAGCACCCCAATTGCTCTTAGATATGTACTTGAAAATTCATATATGCCAAGTAATATATTTGCAGACTTTACATCAACTTCTCTTTTCTGATTTCTTTCCCAAGTTTATTGGGTAAAGGCAATAAGTCCATCTCTTGAAGGATGAAGACAACTTTTGAAGGATTATATGTGAGATGCATGTGTATACCATATTTCGACTTGTTTATATTTGACATTGCAAATTGTGGTCAGTTCCTCAATTCTACACAAACATTCTATTTGACTATCTTCTGTCTTTTTGTTTCCCCTTTTTCTGAGTTTTCATGGTGAATTTCTTGGCTTACTGGGGCAAGCACACTAAGCCTTTCAAGAATATAATACAAACAGGTAAAAGTTTGGTTAATGTTATCGAGCTCTTGCAACTCAAAACCTAATTAATGAACCTCAAACGAAGCCTGATGTCTCATCAAGCTTGTTTAGTGTCGTCATTTCATTCTATGGAGAAGGAATTTAAACGGGTAGACAGTGAAATCTGCTTGTTCCGTCATATTTCTTAGATTACCTATCTTGTCTCCTTTAATTGATTGCTTTCTCATCACCCTTTCATCACCCTTTCATCTGTTGTCATATCAGTCTCAAATGTTCCCAAAAGAGAAGAATAAGCATTGAGGAGGGTCTAGTTACATGTCATGAACTTTGAATCAACAGTAGAATCTAGTTATGCTCTCAACCGAAGGCAATCTGGGTTTAGTTCTAAATATAGGGAAGAGGACAAAAGACAGATACATTGTTTCCATCATAAATGCCATCCAAGAACACATATGTTAAAATCTTATTAAATAAAAATGGGTCAAGGGAGAAATGTTGCATTGAGATCTGAGAAGAAAATTTCCTAATCAATCTGGCCGACAGCCATCTAACGTGATAAATAGTTGTTGTTTATGATTGGGTAATATTGGGTTTTCCTTTCTGGAGTATCTGATTTTTTATTTGTCTGAGCTTGAAGGATGTATTTGCTCAGTCTTCTATATATATGCTTGAAGGCTGAAACTCTCTCTCATCTCTCACGTGAATATATTAAGTATGAGCTTGTTTTGAGTTGTGTGTATGTAGCCTAGAATGAAAGCTAATGCTATATAGCATAGATTCTAGGCAATTATACATTAAGTGAGTCCAGTGGTGGGTATAACAAAACAATAACAAATATGCCTAATTCAGTATCTATTCCCACTAATATTCATTTGTTTTTATCTAAAGGATAAGATCAACGAGTTTCAAATTCAATGTAAGGGGCCCAACAATGGGAAAAATAATATTCATGGAAGAATTTTCTTTGTAAAGTCATATTGTCATGAAAATTTATTACACATTCCTGACAATGGGCTCATTATGCCCATATTAACAGAGCCTATTACTAAACCCTAATACTTTATCTTGATAGTTGTATAATTAAGGTTGAGTTGGCTCCAGTGTCATTTTGGGTTGCTCCATAATTTCTTGTTCTATCGTTAGCAGCCTTGCTTTAGCTTTTTTCTTATGGAATTTCACTGTCACTGCTTCTCTCTTATTTTTCTATCAAAACAAACACGGGCTGACAGATGGAATCATAAAAAATTAGGGCTGCAACGAATCCTACGCTCAAATCCCATATAGTAAAGTTCAATTGTGATGTAGTGCTGTTGCATGGTTATTCTCATCTTTTTATTTTCTCTGAAAGTTATGTTGCAATATTTCTTCTCTTGTCCTTAAAATAAATCAGTGTATGAAGGTTTTAAAGCGAAAGCAAATATTTTTTTGTAACAACCTAAATTAACATGGGAAATATCTCGTTTGAACCAGGAGTGTAAAAGACAAAAGGTAAAAAAAAGGAAAAAATCGACCAACTAGATTAGGATTGCAGATCAGTTGCAACATAAATTCCATTTCTTATGGAACTCAAATATGGAAAAATGAAATTCATGAGTAGCATAACTTTTTTTTTTTTTAATTTTTTGGCGATGGAAATTGAAATATGTAAGTGGAAGCTTCTTTTCTTTTTCATCAGCAATGAAGCATATATGTCATGTGTTCCACTAATTTGGATATATACTATAAGAGTTTCTATTTTTTCCATTTTTTTTTGGGAATTCATTGAATGGAAAGCATATCTCCACTAAGATGAGCCTCCAGTCGTATTAGGGTTAAGGGAGAAATCATGGATGAGTTTATCTTTGCATGTGGAAAAGGAAATCTAGTTCTTTTTCCCCTATTAATTTCCCAATTTTGAAAGCACATATTTCCACTAGACATTTGCTGCACAAAGCTGCATGTGGTTTGCTCTTTAGTAAGCCGACTGCTGAAACCAACTCTAATCGTATAACAATTTGTTGCATCCAGAATCCTCAACCCTAATTTCTTCTGTTTCCTTTGCTTCTGATAATGAATGCAGTGAGGAGGGAACGTCTCATTTAGGGTGTACATGCTCTTCTGATGCATAATATATTTTTAACCAATTATTTCAGTTAACAATGGATTTGTGGCACAAGGAACCACCCATTAGTGGCACAAGGAAATCAACTTAACAAATCAAGATTTCCAACTATTGGCATGAGTTCATCCCTTTGTGAATGTACCTGAAATGGATTTGTGTGAGATCATTTACCCAGTGAGGAATGAAGATTCTAAAAATTGATTTATTTTAATATTCCCATTATATTGAAGCATATTCAAGCTATAAAGAAATATAGATAGAGTTACTAGAATTTTGGTGGCTAGCAGGAACCTCAGACAATGATCTTCAGATAGTGCATGGTATTAATCTATCTTATTGTGTAATTTCTTGCAATAAACCTTTGTATTGGATGAACATGGTTCCACATTTTTCTGAGCTAACCTTTCAGAAGAGAACTTTATCTAATTCATTTTCTTTTTATCAACATAGAGGCGTTTTGGCTGATTTCTTTTGATGTGTCAACGTTTAACTATGGATGAGATATGTGGCTGGCACAGGAGGAGGAGAGGAAGAGGAAGAGGAGGAGGAGGTGGTGGAGAGAGAGAGAGATCAAATTATTGGAACCCTAGCTTAACAACCACTGCAGCAGTAAACCCTATATACTTCTAGTACTGAACTCTAAGCTTTCATTGATCACGTAGAGAGGAAACGAAGGAGATAATAATGTCTGTAAGAAGACGACATTAATGGGTCCATGCCATTACAATCTTAAGGAGGGGAATAAAAACTGTTTAAGAAACTTTCCATATAGAAACTGCAATCCACATACATGGTATGACTCGCTATCTATCAAATCCCATATATAGTATTTTATAAATAATTGGAGGATGGCATCCGCACCGCCTTAGTTCGAATTGGCCTCGATGTCTCGAACCCTCCATTCATCACACATGGAGTATAGCCGATAGTCAAGCTGTTAGAATGAATCTCTGCTTGTTTCCACCAAACCAGCCCTTTTATTGGGTTGAACTAAGCAGGTCGCCCTTCCCTTCAGACACCCTCACGTGTTGATCGAGGAGGAGATGCCTCAAACAGAGAAAGAGAGAGAGAGAGAGTTCTTTTTATAATTGTGCAAGCCATAACAACAACACTCAAGGATGTTCAAAAGAAAGAAAATATTCTGAATTTCTATTTTGATATAATTTCACTTCAGTCCTACAAAGTACTACTATTCTTTCTTTAATATTTATTTATTTGTTTATTTTATGATTAAAACTTTGTTTTCTTTTTGAGTGGTCATATTGACGCCATAGTTATTACTCTTTTACCTAGAAGCTCACTATTTCTGTACTTGAACTTCTCTCTCTTACCACCAACAGTACTTTGCTCCAATCTTACAATTGTAGAACACAGTAAAGAAATGCCAAGCTAGTCCCTAGGACCGCACTGGAACTCAGTGATCTCCATTGGATCTTGTACTCTTGGCAAGCATGCTGTTCTGAATCTAGGGTTCCATTGCTAACACCTCCAAATCCGTTTTGTTCTGCAAATCTACTTAACCATACGTGACTTCTAACGTGGGGTCATCTCCCTTCTGCAGCACAGGATTGGAATCTACTTAAAACATAAAATATCCCATTATATTGCCATTAAGGTATATATCCCCTTTTAAATTCTAGATCCTAAGCAATCAATCAAATGTAATATTGAATCCCTACTAAGGCTGCATTTGGCATTCCTTATTTTAAGAACTTATCTCTTTTTTGTAGTTAAAAACTCTGTTCATAGTGGCATTTTAACTTTTAAAAGGAGATTAAGACCTTAAAATAAGGAATGCCAAATGCAAACTAATTAATTACGGCAACATAATGCGCTTACTTATCTATATTGAGAATTTTTTCTAGAGGATTAATAATAGATTGATCATTTATAGCTAAAATGTAAGTCCATGTGGAACAAAATAAAAAAAAAAAAAAAAGATTCAGAGAGTCATTCTATAGTTTCAATTCTAAGATTTAAAAAAAAAAAAATCCCAATTCAATGTTTTCTCTTTCTTCTTTATTTCTCCCTCCAACTGTATATGGCTATTAATCTTAATTTTGTACTTTTTGTGTGCTCATGTAAAAAATGGAAAAAGAGATGATAATGGATACCCGCTTCATTAAAAAAAAATATTGGGTTCCCTTGATCTTTTTTTTTTTTTTTTGTGGTGGGGGATTGATCCAGGTTTTGTTAAACCCTGAGCTGCGAGAAAAGGATCTTAAATCCAAATGACCTCACAACCCAAATGAATTCTTTTCTTCTATCAAAGAAAAGAAAAGAGTTCTAGTGTTTTAGAATCTACTCAATCTAGACTATTTGGTCAATCATGGAGGTTAACAAAAGAAGAAAAAAGAAAACCTCATATGAATTTCTTTCTCTTTTCTCTGATGCACACGAGACTGTAATAGCATACTGACATAAAATGTTCCATCCATGAAAGTGTGGGTCCCTCTCATGATCCAATCAGTCTTCTGTGCAATGAATATATAGCAAAATCGTGCATCACAGACATGAAAGATTCCAATCCAACGGTGATCCATGGGAACATGTCCCCACCCAATTGAGGAAGGCATGGGGGAGCTATTAAAGGAAGGAAGGGGACACTTCAATAAATGTGGTTAATTATAACATCTATAATTGCTTTGCCAGCCAAACCGATAATACTGTATACAGTTGGGAAAAAAAAGAAAAAAAAAAAAAAGTGCAAACTTTCACAACGGGTCTGGCGGGAAAAGTAATACCTCTCACGGACTCGCAGTTCCCGCCCTTCGATCCACCACCCTTTAACCACAGAGAATCACAACGACTCGTACGAGAATCCCGCATTCTTCGGTCAACTCGATGGGACGTCTGACTTGACAACTGGGTCCCACCGGGTCCCACCAATCGTGCGCTCCCTCACGTGGTTACCTGTCAGCCATGTCGGAATACGGAACCCAGCTGGTGGTGGCGAGGAGCTTCCCCTCCGGCCGCCCCACCTCCCCCTCGCTGTATTAACAAACTCCGCCGCCTGATTTCCGCCACGCGTCCCCATCGACCGGCCGAGACATCAAGTCCGTCGTTAGGGGAGGTGGGACCCCCTCTCCCGTACGAAAACCTTGTCGGGTCTGCATCAACGTGACTTTTCTTTCTTTTCGCGCGCATCGATCTCGACGGTCAAATCTCGAGGGTGTGGGTCCCACTCGTTTTTCCTTTTTTGAGTTTACATCTGCGCACCACAATGTCCCACAAGCTTATCCCCGCCTTGCATTTGGAACATCTCGCGATGATATATGAGACCCGATGATGTCATCATCGGGAGATATTCCCAATACAAGGCGGGGATGCGCTGTGGGACGTTGTGGGGCGCCCCGAAGTGGAGCGCAGATCTGAACTCTCCTTTTTAGGTGGGTGTAGTGTAGGGTTTTTTTTGACTTTTCCGTACGTCCCCCCTCCCTCCGCCTCGATTTCGTTATTATTTACAGACAGAGAAAAAAAAATAGAAAACCCAGAATTTATTTCTGGGAACCGGACGAAATGTCATGTCAACCACTCAGAAACAGAAACGTGGCAATGATATGGGGATCGCGACCCGGTCATTTAAACCAGGCTCCAGAGAATGGATGTGAAGAAACGATCCGAGCCGTCCAAAACTGATCGTTCAGAGGGATTCACTGTTGTGGGGTACAGTTGACATCACCTGGGATGATGGGGATGTCATACGACACACTTAAAAGGGTGACACGTGTCCTGATGGGGGTTGCTTTACCTACTGATGGATACTTTTATGCCAGTAACAATTATGGGATGTGCAGCAGGAGAAGAGAGTCCCGTGCCCGTGGTACTGACCACACACGCTTGCAATAGAATGAGCCCATACTTTGAATGTAGGCTCTTGGGCCTGAGCAACTTTGTTACCGCACGGTCTTTTGTATTTAGCTCACTAGATTCCTTGCTTGTGTGTGTGTACTCACTACTCAGTACTCTCCTCCTGCCAAGACACCCTCAATCCATCCCCCCATGGAGGAAAACCAACAATAACAACAACTGAGGACCTGTTTGGAGTTGAAACAATAGTTTCATTCATGCATTTTGAAACTTATTGAAGTCTACATACCCTTTGTCTTTTAATTCTATTTGGTGGAAGGTTTTGGTAGTTTTCATTCATCCATGAAAGTGTTAAATCAATGTCACCTCACATCAGCCAGGTCATTCAGACTTTTTCTCTGCACAATAGGAAATGTCTAGTTAATTATTGTTCCTTCAAATACCCTAGCTAGCTAGTATATGGATTTTCATGCAAAGTGTTTTGTGATAAACAGGTTGTTAATGGTTGAAGTCAAAAATCCTGCTATATGAGGTGACAGCATTTCTACTTGAATAGCCCATGATGCCAAACAACACCTATATCTCCTTCCTTTCCTTCTCAGTGATCATAAAGTAACCCTAAAGCATGATTATAACATACTCAAGCTAAAATAGCCCTAAAAAGGCTATATTACACTCTCAATTTAGCTGGTCCATGTTATCTTGGTTCTTGGGAGAATGTTGGTCCCTATTATCTAGGGTCTTGGGAGGGATGGATTGGACATGGATTAACCTTTTTGATGTTTTAGCACAGTTTTGTTGTTTGAATAATTCATCTTTTCACACCTGCCAGCCTGAGAATCTTACCATCCTGCACCAAAAAGCAATGCTCCCTTAATTGGAGTGAAAACATCCCTAGCAATTCACAAAATCCTAACAGTCATTTTTTCAATCTTTTGCAAGATGCTATTTGACTACATGGATTAGGGTTTGTAGCTTTTCTAAAAATTGAATGTGCCCAAATCACCAACCTATTCTTGGTTAATTAGCTAACCCTAATGCAAAGTAGTGTGTGATCAAGATTGGAATATGAACACAAAGGACAAACCCATTTACTATCAAAAGGAAAAATGAAAAAAAAAAAAAAAAGAGAATGTAGACTAGCAAGAAGGCTAATATACAACCTGGGGTTGAGCCTATGGCACGTGGCACCGACAACGCCATCAAATCTGTCGTCTAATGAAGGAACTTTTCGGTTCGCCATGTGTCTGATGTCCTTGTCCAGGTAAGCCCTATGTGAACATATTTTTTATTCATTTGTTAATAAGGATCATTGAATTCCTTGAGTATTTAGGAATAAACAAGAGTAAAAAGTGAAATAATTAATTATTTTTGCCTATTTCTATATTGCTTTAATTAAGTTAAGTTTACCACATATGGTTGGCATAAGTAGCCTTTGGATGCTGGGTTGTCATTTCAATTGCCACATATCAAAATTAAATCAAAAGTAAGATATGAAATTAATCTCCAGTTTTTGAAAGCGAACATGTTCTCGAATAGAAACACAAAAAAAAAACAAAAAAAATCAATTTTGCAAAACTAGAAGTGGATATATAGGACATGGCTATTTATTCACTGTCTACAATTAGTAAGTTTGATAAAATATTTATTTCTGCACCAGACCAGATGATGAGCCACCCTGACTATTTATTAAGTTTTTTATATTCTATTATTTTTCTATGCTTTAGAAATGCTAATTCTAACTCTTGGGAATGGAGATAGAGATAGAGGTTTAATCTCACCCGTAACATGTCATATTTAATCATGCCTAAAATAAAGGGTGAGAGTAGGTAATTCTCAGAAGTAGGGTTATTAATTATATTCCATTTCTATTGTGTGTTAATGAAGTTCTTCCATATTTTATTCAACAACTGAACTATGAACAATCCATTCCAACAATTTGTTATTTGGTAGATGTTTAACAGTATTTCATTGGAAAATCAAAATGACCATATTGGTAGAAATGACTATTTAATATTTGTAGATCTATTGCCATCAAAATTATTAACAAATTTATGAAAGAAGCCCTTCCAACCACCCAATTCATGTCTAAAGGGGCTATTTGATAATGGCTGAATTATCTTTATTGCCTTTTTCTTTTGGTGGATAAAATACTTAGCTAATTGATGAAGGGTGATTTGGCCCAACCTCATAATAAGGGGATATGTGGACGTGACCCAACATAAGTGATAACTCAGCATAACTAGCTCAGTACAATTCAGCCTAACAGCTCGCCCGAAGTGGCAGCTCGCTGTAAGATGATACTCCGGCACCCCAAGCTAAGACTCCCAAGTAGGGAGCACCCCAAGCTGAAAACACCTCGGGTTAGGCTCATCAGCCCCCTAACTAGGGTCAGTTCGCTCCCACCTAAACTTAGGCTCTCAGAGACCCGCCTCGAAGAAGCACCTCGACGCACCACCAGTAGCTCAGTGTAAGGTAGTTCGCGGTAGAGCAGCTCGGCATATCATGGGAGATTCACTGCTTGACAACTATACCTGCCAGACTGCACCCTCGTCTCTCACCTGGCGGCGTCTAGCAAGACCGTACTCTGCAGCGATTACCTTTGCCCACCAGCACAACTCTGACAGATAACGGCCAGCTACGCCAAGCCGTTATTTGACAGAAGATCGCCGCAGCAGAGATTCGGGAGGCAGTTACACCTGACAAGTCAGAATACTAGTATATAAAGACCCCGATCCCTAGGGGCGAGGGTATTGTGTGATCATCACCCTTAGCCCTTTTATTTCTCTGCACTCTCTCTCTCCCTCTTTTGCTCTCTTAGTTTACTAACTTGATCCGGAGTGTTCCCGCCAGGTGAACCCCCTGGGATCCTTCATCTTCTTCCTCTCAGGTGCCTCTCATCCGTCGCCAACTAGGAGTAGAGCCACTTCTAGATAGGAGTGACCAGATCGCGCACCATTACTAATGAAGTATTTGAGGGTATAGCAATCAACCCCACTTAACAGCTTCAGCCACTAAGATGCTCACAGCATCCTAATCGATAACTTATTCACTAAATGACAAAGCAATAAATCATTCAGTTCAGCCAATTCGGTTGAGATTAGAGATTCTTTGATATATATTAAGAATTTATTTTTATATTTTAAGATTTCAAATAACAAAAGCCCCGAACAAAATGTCTTTGGGAGAAAAGCTCCTTTACAACTAGAAATTAACTTCAATATCAGGTGAACTCCCCTATGAATATACAAAATATAACGAGTTTTAACAGCCATTATCACCAGAAGAAAAAGGAAAAGAAGAGAAAAAAAAAAGAAAAGAAATTAAACACATGTACTCTCATAAAAAGTACAGTTTTGGGATGGATGATTAAGCTCACCTGATCTGAGTTCCTAAAGGAGAAGAAGAATCCAAGGTTGTCCTTCTCTACTGTACTATAGAGAGAAAGAGAGAGGATTACTGATTAAGGAGTGCAGATTGACGAGAATGTGTGCACCATTTGCATGGTCTGTGGTTTGCATTGGTCCGTACTACAATAAGGAAAGATGACGATGGTACTTCTGCTCTGGGGCATGCAAGAAGTCCACTTCTTAAATGGGGTAGCTGTCCTACAGTTGTTACTCGTGACCTTACTTCATCGATTTATCGGTTCTGAATCTTCAACTGAGAGGTCACCTCTTTGACGAGGCAGAGGGGGGAGGGGGTGGCGTCCCCCCAAAATAAGACCGACAAAAGGATCTTAGCTTTCTAATCTAAGACCTATAAAATGGAGTTTGCGGTAGAATACCCAAAACCTACTGAGAGAAAAAGAAAATAAATAACTAAAACAAAAGGCTGCTATGGCTAGAAAGAAAGAGCCCTGATGGCAACCACATGACCGGACAACCTGCTGGTTTTCTACTTTGATCCTTGGGCTCAAATAGCTGGGACGTGACCTTTCCCGTATTAGGGGCTGATACAAAACTGCCCATCAGAAAACAAAAAAAAAAAGGAGGATAAAGGAAAAATTAAGTTAGAAACATTAATTGGATTGATACAGGTATTGAGAAATGGTGGGATAGATTAATTGGTGTGTAGGGAGGATCACATTACCCGATACGGATCAGTGATTTGAATATTGATGAAATCCCTGTTAATTGATGATTAAAGATTCCAGTTTGATGGTTTTAGTTTTAAGGAGAAGAACCTTCTCTTTCTTTGGATGGACTTGATCATGATATGAAGTCATAACATGTCCAAAAGAATATTAAGCCTAGATATTAAAGGGAAATAGAATCTATATACCCCTAAAAGATACTTTAACTTATAACCAATTATGATGGTGAAAGAAATTTTATTGTTTGTAAAACAATGTTAATTATAAATAAATGTTATAAAATATTTCATTTTATTTTTTGACTTTCATTTGTAAGTATGCTTACATTAAACTAATATTATTTTCTATAAATAATTATCAGACCTGTTTTTTAATTTTTATACATTTTTTTCCTTTTTAGGTCAAGTAGGCTAAAATTTTAAAAAATGAAAATTATTCTAGCCTACCAAATAAATACATATGAAGCTTAGTTATGAAAAGAAAAATGGAATGCTAAAAATACATTAATTTCTGGAATCACTGAAAGTAATCTAAATGCAGAATGCTAGTAATCAAGATCAAGGACATTGGAGCAATGAAGATGGTACTCTCTTTCTACTAGGGTGACTTTGGGGACCATAAAAGGGTTTGGACTTCCTTTTATTCTACACTCTTTTGATATAGAAGCATTTTGCTTTAAACAAAGGAATTCTTTTTCGTTGTTTTATTCAACCTCTTGTGTTAAAGAAATATCTAATAGGAATGGCAACAGGGGAGGGCAGGGTTGGGGAGCCACTCCCCATTCCCATCACTACGAAAATCCCTATTCTCATCCTCGTCTCCGTCCCTGCCAGCAAGGACAAGGTTATCCCCATCCCCGTTCCCACAAGCATCCCATCCCCATAGGGATCCCCACTCCCCATGACTTTTTTTATGATGTTAATCATTTCATTTTTGTTTTTATATTTCATTTAAAAAATGAAAGTAAAATATTTAAAATTTACAATCCTATTAAAAAAGATATAAATATATTCAAACATATTCAACCATATTTTAAAAATATTAATATACATATATGCATGGAAATATATATAAAAGTGGGGATCTCTGCAATATGGGGATTAGGGGCTCCATGGGGCGAGGAATACTCTCCCCTTCACTGCCAATAGGAATGAAAATTTCCCCATCCACGTTGCCACAGGGGGAAAATATCCCCATACCTGCCCCAAGGGGCAGGTCTCCCGGGGATTGGGGAAATGGGGAAATTGCCATCCCTAGAAATATCTGCTAATTGAATCATTTAGTAGCTACCCTTCCCTAAATGACCCAACGAGGACTTTCTGTCTAACATATTGTTGGCCCAATTCTACGTAACGACTTAGACCAATCAATACCCTGTGAATTTTAATGAAAACCCACCTGATTGATTATCTCTGTTATGATGCCGGTTGATTGGTTATAAGCTTTTTCCGGCTGGTATAGTGTATCCTTCCGGCATCATAGTCGAACCCAAGTTCGTATAGTCTGGATGGCTATTATAAATCTAAACACAACTTTAGTACATGGTGGACTTTAAGGTAGATGTGGACAGCAAAGGACATAGCTGATCTAGGAAGTGGACAGTTTGGATTTGGACAAGGTTCCTCATGTATTGTTTTTTCTACCAGCCCCCACTCATGACAAAGGAAAAGGGATTAGACTGCTCTATAATATATCTGATAATTCTGTTGTTACTAACTAATTGAAATTATGCAATTCCGAGTATTATGTATTTTAATGGAGTGGAGAAGATGACAAAAAAAATATTGGGATATATCCACTTAAGATGTGCCTCCTGTCGTCTAAAACATTAAGACCATTATACAATGATAATCCTGATTATCTGGCGTCTTGAGAGGGGTGGACTTGATACACACCTAACCTCTGTCAATTTTGGCATGAAGTGGCCACTCTCAAACTCAAAACTCATATATGTTCTCATCACACTTGTCAGTCTAAGATTTTACCATCTTAATAAGAAAATGGCCCCTCTCCCATCATCTCTTCTGTTTAAATGAATTGTCATTCATCTTGCCTAGATCTTGTTATGTCAATTATATAAGGGGTATATCTAAACTCAATAATATTAAAGGATCAACATAAAGATGAATAAGCAGAAGGAAGAAATTCAATAAAGTAGATCACTACAGTTTAAGTAAAGATAATACTCTACCTTGAGTGTTTTGGGTTTGAAAAAGATACATGGGTCTTTTGATAATTGCCTTCCTTTATTAATCTTCTTTTTCTTCCTGTTCTAATTCATTAAAAAAGTAAGCTAAGAGTTCTTTTTCCCTGTAGATTTTTATGGGATTTTTTTATTTTAAATTTCACTATGAAATGTACCAGAGGAAAAAATTAATAAACTAAGAATGGTTTCCTTAGCTATACACTTGATAAGACACCATATCCTTATTAACACTGTACCTAGCAGGGGTGCATTTGATATAAAATAATAAAAACAATTATATCAGATTATTAAACTAATCTTAACTGTCACTTTTAACATCAATCATGAAATACTTAAAACCTTTATGGAAATCAAACAGTCTGACCACAACAAATTAGAAAAATGATTAAAGGGCTTTAGCCTTTATGGTCTAAAGCAAAAAAAAAAATAAAAATAAAAATAAATAAAACAAAGTTAACTTTGAATTTGCAAAGTGCATGTCCCAGAATCATTGCATTGTTGAAGGAGATATGTTTCTTATATATAAATTCTCCTCCTCTTAAGAAAAGTACTAGGTAGTGCTAAGCATTACTGTGAACTTTTTCTGGGAATCCAGAAAAAAAAAAAGCCATGTGGCACACCTACTTGTTTCTATCTTGCCCAATAATTGTCTCTAATAATTCCCTAACAATAATTCCATTCATTAATCTAAATTATTTAAATCAACTCAGCCTCCAATATGTCTCTTTTCTCCCATACAAATTCATCTGCTCACTGTTTATCCAAATTAATAACTCTCTCTATTATGTTCCTGTTCTTAGAAATAAGTCATAGCTATAATTTTCTTCTATTATTAATTCATATTATTTAACCTTTCAACTAAAATACCACAAACCCTTTTATACTATTAATATGATTAGGTCTTTGTACATGTATGTATTAATTAATTCTGAAAACTCTTTAATTTGCTAATTCTTTTCATTTAGAAGATATCTTTAATATAGCTAAATCTTGATTCATTGTTTAAACTCTTCCCATGGTTAGGCCTTGATGTGTTTGATTTCCCTTTTATGTTTTAGTTTCTTCATTCCTTTATTTTCTTAACAAATATGTTCTTTAAATTGTAAATTAAGTTGTGACTTTAAACCCATACTATGTTTTGGTGTTTTTATTTTCCTGTCAATAGCATGGGGTAGTTTGAATGAAAAGGATTTTTTTTTTAGAAATATTCTTATTATTTCAGAAAGGCACAGAAGGAAGTAGATCTAATTGGTTTTCCTGAAGAACAGGGTGGTGATTCATGCTATGAGATCAATCGAAAGTCAATGTTTTCAGCCGTTCTAATTAATATTTGGATGATTATGGACAAGGATGAATATAGGATTGTACAACATCCAACTTTCTAATGGGAACCCACTGATTTCAATTCAAGAATACTATCAAGTCCATCCCATCTGTTAGGATGTCTAGAAGCTAAAATTAATGTTTCTTGATAGGCTAATACAAATGGATCCACTGGGTGCAAATTGTATTTAATTTGAAATTAAAGTTGAAAATGGTTCTATGTGTAGTAGAAGTTTATTGCAGAAAACTATAATGACAAAAGTGGACAAGTTGTTCTTTTTTCTTATAATTTTTTACTTTTTTATTTTAATTAAACATTTTTTTAACTCTATGCAATTGAAAATTCAACATACATATCTTTAATTTTAATTAAACATTTTTCCTTTTACATTTTTTAACTCTATTCTGGGGGAATAACAGAAGCAATAAAGAATTGGTGGCATCTCAAGGAATTCCATTTCCACAGCAAGAATGGTTCTTCAAATGTCCTACAAATGCCTATTAATTATCTGTCTAATCACTTTGGTTTCGGTCTTGGAAATTTAATTTGATCTTATATATACGTTCAGTACTGATTCACCAATTACCAACATGAGGCGTTCATAGGTTCAATTCACAACCCGTTTTTCTTTACAAGACGTTCAGGTAAGTACCCGCACTCTGCAACCACCTACAGGCCTGCCTGAACAATCCTTCCTTTTCTCTGTTTCCGTTGCTTTTAGCTCATGTGCTGTTTTTTAAGGTTGACTCTCAGAACACCATTGATTCTAACCTTTCTGCTCTACCTTGCAACCAGCTGCGTAAGATTATAAATTAAGCAATAATATTGGGAGAGTCATGAGGAGTACTGCTCCAGAAAAACCAGAGTAATGCTGTTTGCGTACGTCTAATGGAGAAGCATGTGAGAAGGCTGTAAACCCAGATGCAGATAGACGAAAGAAGAAGAAGAAGAAGAAGAAGAAGAAGAAGAAGAGCATGGGTCCTAGCTCTAATGGAGGAGCATGTGAGAAGGCCCCGCACATACATGTTAGACAGGAGAAAAGGCACAGTATAGCAGATCAAGACAAATCGCCGAGATAAGGTAAAGAAAGTAATGTCCTTGACTGACAGTGACAAGATAAGAAAACCTATTTTAGGACTCAAAAACAGCGTATTAAGTAATGAACCAGAAAAAAACATGATGATATCTTAATCACTGGCAAAGCATCATCCCGGCGAAGGCACCGCCGCACCGGTGGATGCTCGAAGATACAGAACAATGGCTAAGAGATCAAACCAACAATTCTAAACAAGGAATTAGTCAATCCCAATAATGGTTAAGAGATCAAACCAACTGAACAAAAAACGGGAGTAAACAAGAGGTTAGCCCCGTGAAGGGCCAACACTGACCAGGAGACTAGAACTCAAGAAAAACCAAGGAAGAAAGGCTAACTAGTTGGAGGCTTTGCTGGAACCTACCGGGTAAAACAATGTCCGTAATGGAAAAGAAAGGCTAGATCTGAACTTCTGAAATGTGAAAGAAATGACGGAAGCCTGATGGAGGATCAGACTCCTAGAAGATGAACCACAGCCAACGAAGTGATCTTTGCAAAGGAAGGTCTCTCAGAAACGATTAGGAAACGGAACAAGGCTGCTGGATGGCCTACAAGTAATCCATGAAATGGGTAACTACTATTACTTTCTCTCTCTCTCTCTCTCTCTCTCTCTCCCCTATCTAGGAGACTATGACAAAGATCATAAAGGATAACTCTAGTCTTGGTTTGTATGACCAAGGAGAGTGATGGATGGAAGATATATGGTGCGAGGAAAGAAAAACTTGATCATGAAACCTCATAGTACCTCGGACCTGAAAGCACTCAAAGCAGCAAAATGAATGAAATTCAGGAGAGCAATGCCCTAAGACAAGCATACCCTAGAAGCTAGCTACGAGAAAAAAAAAAGTCCAGAACTGATTACAAAGTAAAAATAGAAAACACCAGTTCAAAAGCAAAGGTGTTTGCATCATTGAATCCAACAAAAACCAAGTTGGCAGCCTAAGAAACCCGTTGAACAGGTGAGCAAAAATAGAATACCAAGTCCAACTCAGAAGACATGGATGTGCAACAATGAGCTCAGACGACTTGCATCGTTGCATGCGGACATGAATCCTGAAGATGACCTGTTAGGAGGTGAGGAGGATCTCCTCTTTGAGGAAAACCTGGAGACGGAAATGAGAGAGAATGAAACCTTACTGAATAACCATCTTGCCTTGATGAAGAAAACAGTATGAACACACAGATGTGAGAAAACCCTGTACAAGGAAATGAGAGAGAATGAAACCTTACTAAATAATCTTCTTTGCCATGAATGAAGAAAAGAATCAGAATGACCCACAGGACGAACAGTATGAACACAGATGCTATAGCAATGGAACTGGAAGGAGAAGGTTGAAGTGAGGAGTGAGGACAAAAACATCAGAGTTGAGAATGAAGCCAACAAAAAACTGACTGTTACCAATGAAAGTCTTGGACTACTGGAAATTGGAATGTTAGAGGAGCAGGTCACCGCAGGACCTCAGTTGGAATTCAATGTGCTTCAAGCTCATTCTAATGGAGATTCTGAGTACAACACGACGCATGCCTTGTCAAATCATGCTAAAAGGCATCCAATGTGGGGAGAGCTTTCTGAGAAGCTTCAAACAATGAATTAACTTAGTCTTAGGCTGTGATTAGCAATCAGTGATTAATTTTGATGAAAAACGGGGAAGAAAACTCACACCCCTGAACACCGACTCCAAAATCACGTAAGCAAATGTGGTTTATGGTCTTGGTTATAAAGGTAAAATTTTCACGTGAAACTGTGAAAGAACAATCAAATCAAGGAAACATTAACTGGACAGAGCTTTAGAGGCTGTTTGATAACAGTTGAATTGTCTGAACTCGATTGCTTATTGGTTTGTCCATTAGTGGAGCAAACAGTTTGTATAGTGAAATGTTTAGTGAACATTGCTTTGGAGTCTTTCATGTCAGCAATAGTTTGATTTGGCGTCTTTTAGTGAATAGTTTGCGGTAGATCCAGGCATGGATGAGGCAGACAACAACATTCTAACAGAAGAAGTTATTAACATAAGATTTTTTTTTTGGTAAAAATTAACAAAGAAATCAATATGTATGGAGGCTCTAGAGACAATACTGACATGAAAACACCTAGATTGGATGGTTCAAGTATTTTTATATTAATGGTAGTGAGGGCCTTTTCATCAGACTGGATAAGACTTTTATTGCTCTTATATCCAAAGGAAAGAATCTAGACAATTCAAACCATTTGGGGCTGGTAAGCCCATCTATTGTGGTTTATAAGATGGATCATAGTTGGAATTAATTTTAGTTAATTAATTACGTTTGGTTTTTCATAAAATTGTCTCCCCCTTTCAAAGTTGTCTCTTTTCCCAGTAAATAAATTAATGATAATTAACATCTGAAGCGAAATAAATTAGTGTGTTTTCTGTAGCAAGTTCAATACAGAAAGAATTCTAACCATCTTAATTAAATGGAACTACATTGGATTCTGGTAAGTGGACCTACTAATAATAAACCGTCTAAGTATTTTGTAAAGAATCAACCAATCAAGGAGATCTTTATTCTTCAAACATTTTTAATGAAGTTTAGATATGCTCACCAGACATTTCACTTGTCAGATGTGAGCCAAAGAAAAACGAAAAAACAAAAACATAAATTGGAATAAAGACACCACAGACAAGTCCCGCCAATAATATTACCATACTCCATTAATTCTGAGTATGATACATGGTGTTTATAAGAGCATCCCTAGGCAATATGCAACTATAATAATGAAGCTTTTAAACATTTTGTTAGGGCATTAAGTCAAAATGTAAGTTTTATTAAATCATCAATATTATATGTCCTAATAATTTTTCAAATAGTTTCCACAATATGAAAGAAGTACCAAGGTACACCAACTGCATGTTCATGAGAGAGTTATATAACAGACTTTCTGCTACTATGTAGAAATAATAAAAGAATGGCTCAAAGTTTGAAAACAAAAACTACTATTATGAGCAAGAGGAGTATCATTAATTAAATTGGTCACAAGAGCTATTCCTTACTACTTGTTGTGATGAGATACTTTCTGTTCCTCAAGACATTTTTAATAAATTTGTTTATAGAAGTTCTCACCAGACATTTCACTTGTCAGATATGAGCAAAAAAAAAGTTGGAATAAAGAAATCACAGCCAAGTCCCACCATTACATACTCCAATTTGCATATGACTACATGGTCTTAATAAGGGCATCCCTAGAAATATGCAATTATAATAATAAATAACTTTTAAACAATTTATTAGGGAATTAAGTCAAAAAGTAAATTTTAATAAATCATCAATATTATATCCTAACAATTTTCAAATAGTTTCCATAAGATAATAGGGATGCCAAGGTACACCACCAACTGCATGTCCATGGAGAGTAATAAAAATAAACAAAAAGGAAACTTTCAACTATATGTTGAAATAGTTAAAGAAGGGCTCTCAAGGTTTGAAAAGAAAATCTACTATTTGTGGCCTTGTGGGCAAGAAGAGTGGAAATGTGTAACTAATAATTAAATTGGCCAAAAGATCCATTCCTTATTACTGGGTGAGATGCTTTCTATTCCTCAAAGGAAACTTGGAGGAAATTAACACATAATCCAGATGCAATTCCTCTATTGGAGGGGAATCAAGAAGGCCATGTTGCTTTAATTGGTTGGAGGAGGGTTTGCAAACAAAAGAATAAGGGAGGCTTAGGAATAAGAAAGGCAATAGATAGTAAAAGACAAGCATAGCTAAACTCGGATGGAGTACCCTACAATTAATACTCTTATGATAACTTATGGGTTGAAATAATCTGAACAAAATAATTAAGTTGGACCTTCTTTGAAGAAAACCAAAACAAAGACACTTGTACTCATGGAGTCATGGATAGGCATCTTTCAAGGTAGAGAACTAATAATAAAATGGCCTGCAACATCAACAATAAGTGGCATAGCTTAAACAAGAGGGTCTAGCTAGAAAATATAATGAAAGAACATCAAGGCTATTCACATGCCCTGATGAAGCAAACAGGACAAGATATGGAAAGGTGAAAGTAACTAATACTCTATAAATTCAGACATGTAGCTAGGGGTGAGTAGTGATTTCCTAAAAGAAGACCTTAATTTGGAGGGACGCTAATGAAGAATAACAAGTCAAAACAGATTTCTCCTACTGAATTTTACAATAGAAATCACCCAAACCTATAAAGAAGAGCATTCAACGACCAAGGCTTGCATTAAAAGAAAAAAGAAATCTAACAAAAGCACCTCCATTAAAATCTAGGGATGTACTAATACAATGTTTTCGAATTGCCATTGATTTGGACGTCCGGACTGTTCGGCCCAGGAATCATTCAAGCAACCGGTTCTGTTTTATCCCAAATCCGATCCTTAGCCAAAAATCGTTGAATTGGTTAACAATTCGTTGACCTGGATAGTCGAACCGTTGATCCATTCGACCCATTCAATGGTTTTGACTATTTTTTTTTTATTTTTATTTTTAGGTTTCATAGTTTTTGTAGGGTGTGGGGGGCAGAACCGCTGGACTACACCCTATTCAGTGATTTTACTAATCATGCCTATAGACATCCAAATACATCTCAATGTCTCACCTCTTCTACTACTAGGGTCGAGGCCTCATTCTCAACCTAAACCCAACATACATACAGACACACCATGTGCATGCTAGCCCTAATTAGGTAACCCTTAACCTTGAGTCTTGGATGTGAAAACGTATTTTAAAAACAAAAAGAAGTGAGGCTAGGTTTGATCAGGAATAGAGTTAGGGACCAACTTATATTTTAAAATTTGACCAATGGGCAACACATTTTTCCTCTGGTCGTGATTCTATGGTTCAACCATCTAGGTTGAACAGTTCCAACCGAGTTATAACTAAAATTATAACCTTGGGATTTTCTTAAAAAAAAAAAACGATTATAAACTTAGTTATTCATTAAAAACACAAGATTAAGCTTTGGTTTCAAACATGATGATCATGGGTCGGGCCCGGCTTCCAAATAACAAAAACATAAGTTTCAGTTTCAAACCCTAGATGTAGAAAGAGATCAAAGAAGAGAAATAATTATTTGCCTGAATGTTACAATGAGTTAATCTATAGTTTGGATCAGGTAGGTACAATGTTGTAAGCATGTTCAATGAGCACTTGAAATGTTGTTTGACACCTGTCCCTTAAAATACCTTCAGCCCACCCTTGAAAAAGATTAAAACCCACTTCTGACAGTTGTCAAAATATTTATCAAGTGCTCATTTAACGTGGTTATTTATATTGTTCTTACTAGATCCGGTCCCGTTAATCTGCCATAACGTAAGTTATGTTCCTCGGGTGCACTGGCTGTTGGGACGTCTGATGGGGCCAAAAGGTAAGAGAGAGAGAGAGAGAGAGAGAGAGAAAGAGAGAGAGAGATTTTGTTTTTCTGAAAAGAATAAGATATCACCAAAATAGAAGATAGCATATTAGGTGTATACAACTAAAGATGCTAAAGAAGACACCCATAAACATTACAAAACCCAGATCCAGATTAGGCACAAAACTAGAGACCAAATCAAGAACCCAAAAACACAATCATCGGCAGCCCCTCTCAGCCCAATAGTGGACAAAACTCAAGTATGAAAAGTAACTTAAATTTAAAAATTAAGGCCCCATTTGGCACGTCTTTTCCCACAGGTTGTCATCTTTTTGAAAGTCTAACAACCTACGTTTTCATCTTAATTTTCCTGTTTGGTTGAGAAAAGATCTAACTGTCAAATGACGTCGCAGCAAAAAGTTGCATGATGCCCATTTTGGCCGATTTTCAAGAATCTCCAAATAAAACTTTTTGGTTTTTCTCAACTCACCTTCGCACAGAAAGACATGCTGAAAGACACACCTTAACCAAATGGTCTTTAGGCTGTCAAGATCTTAACGCAAAAGCTCACTATGTCTTTTGACTATCAAAGTTTCCAAAAGATCTTTTAAGAAAGACTTGTCAAACGACCCCTAAGTAATCTTAAATTTAAATCTTAGGTATCTTTTTGAGGAAAAGTAACTTATATTAAAAGATATTAAATTTAAAAATTAAATAAATTAAATGTATATAATAAAATGACAATTTTACAGCATATACTATCAAATGATTGAAGTTAAAGAGAGCTTCTATCTCTCTTGCTCCATCAATCGAGTCCGGATCTGCTGACCATGACACATTGCTGGCCATGCACATCCAGCTATACATCGGGAATATCGGTGTTTTAAAGTTCAACCAATGTTCCTGATGTGCAGCAAGATGCGCGTGACCAGCAACGTGTCATGGTCAGCAGATCCGAACTCCCATCAACCACATCTACTAGAGAAAGTTCAGATTGGCACCCCATAGAGCATGCCCCACACGTACCCCACATGCACATCTCACCATGCATTGGGAATATCTCCCGTACTTGTCATATTTCTTAATACATGTGGATGGGTTGGGATGTGCTGTGGGGCACACTCTGTGAGGTGTTGATGCAAAACAAGGCATTGAC